TCGCCTCTAGTTCTTTCGACAAAATATATTTAGATACCTAATGTTGACAATATTTGTGAACTACTACTAAATTTTGGGAACTATGACCACACCATATGTTGAGAGAGAGCACATCTGTATTAACAGAACTTAATAAAATCCTTTTAGAAACTATACGCTACGTCGAATGGAATTTGCCGAAATGTGTATCGTCACTGGATACGAATAAAGGCGCGAGCTCAATTTTAGTGAATATCACAAGCTTTAATATATTTAGTTACAGTTACCAGACCCTTTTCTCAGTGTATATGTAGAGGTTAACGATTTGCGACGTCGCAAATCGATATCTAAAGATCGAACCCTTTCCCAGAACGCATGCTATGTGAAAGTCGAGTCTTAGTAGTCATCCAGCGAAGGGTAGACTTGCACATAAGCGAGGATTTTTCATGCGATCGCATAGGCGACAAGGCAGAAATATCAATATATATACATATCTAAAAAATTTGGCGAATTTCTCGAAAACTGCGTTTTACAACAACGACCAAACAGTTGGACACTTCAAGACAGTGCAGTTAAAACTAATAAACAACAATAAAATGTGGCAACAGAATTACGTGAAGAAATGTATACTTAACAAAAATTAATATTCTCACTTAACAAATAAAAACGAAACAACAAAACTATGTAAATAAATAGGGACTGGACGGCAGCTAATGGAAGAGACGCGCCCGTTGAAATTAACTATTTAAGATATTTTGTGAGAATTATATAAATTTATTGCGACACATTTTCACACTTTTGACGATATTAAATACAAGCTACAGCGAACACCCACGACAAATATAAAATATAAAGTGTAAATACATTAATGCATCCAAATAAAAACATCACGTTCTAAGAAACAACGAAAACAGCGCACAAATAACAGAGACGGACGTTGTAAATTGGTTCCAAAGACCGACGCCACAACGGACTAAAACTGCTAAGTATAATGACAGAGACTAAGAGGAGGGAAAACTAGCCAGTTCAGTAAAGCAGCGGGACGGCCATTGCGCGCTGCGTTACCGTGCGCGGGCGGATTAAGGTAGTTTCAATATTTAACATATTTATACACTATGGCCATAAATATGTACATACATACATATGATGTGTGTAAATACATGAACACATGAACAATGTACAATGTGGAAGTGAAATCAAGTGCATTGAATCAGATCTCGCACCGCGGCCATACATATTCCTTTAATCAGTGCGCATCACGGTCGAATTTGAAAGCGGCAACAAGCTGAGAAATAATTACTGCCGCTGCTGCAGTAGCCAAATATGTATTTAGGAATGATGTATATTGCATACGAGTGCAGAATGGCGTTACGCAGCGTTGCATGCCACTTGTGGCGATAGTGTGTCCTCCCCCCTTTCACACAGCAAGAAAACCTAATCTACAGACGCTCAACAAATGACTGATAGGCGAGCGGTAGGGGAGGTGCGACAAATCATTAGGGACGAGGCAAGGCACGGCACATCATTAAAAGAATCACTTCATAATAAAAATTATGTTTTAACGGCTCTTCACGTCGCCAGCATTTTGGCAATAAACCTATTGCGGTTGCGGCACATGCAACTTACCAATAAACTACTGGCTCTTGCACCACCATACACGCTAGATCGGCGCAAAATTCGTGCCGCCCCACAACAGCTCCCGTCGCAACATTAATTTATAGTTTTCTTGCGGTAAATTAAATAATTTAGCAATGCTTCATGGTTGACTGTCGGTTGTCGGTCATGCGGCTGTTGCAGCGTGGCAGCGGTGCAACAGACCCACAATCGTTACGCTGTGCGCGCGCGGATTGTTCTGCTTTCCGCCTGCCAGCCTGGCAAACGCCAAGTTAAGTTTCTGATCGAAATGATTGAAGAGCTGCGCGGCGCTTCAACTCACGCTACACACACGCTGTGCCGTAGTACTTTTCTCGCGATTTCCCACTTTTCATTCGCGACACATATTTCGCTTTTCGTTGCCCTCCATCTTCATAAACCATTTAGCAGCACGCCTGCTCGCCTGCTAGCCACACTTGACGTGCAAAAAATTTCTGTCGCTAGCTCGTAAATATGAATTTTTCAGCAAGCAAAAAATAATTCATATTTTGTGTCTTTAGATGAAAAATGGAAACCCCATTAACGTGTTGGCGGATGAGTGACTGAGGTAATAAATTGATGAAATGAATGGCAACGACAATTTACTCGGGGAATTCGATTTCAAAAAAGTTAGGATCAGAAGTCTGCAGGCAAAAATGATGGGAAGAGGATTAAATGAATTTTGGAAACATCATATGGTCGTATGGTGTCAAGGTAAATTCACTTCATCGGAACTTGTGTTATTTAACCTGGAAACATTTGTTTTGAAAAAACCTTCGCGAAAATAATAATTTATATAATGAGTAACTCAGTTCGAGTTCAAGGAACAAAGATCTCTTAGCTTATTAAACAGATTTTTTACAATTCGACAAATTTGTAATTTTTAAAGGAAATATATATATAGCTAACAAACGCATACTGATCACTTGATATTTTTTACCATTCGAAGAACACTTCACCATTTTAAGATCTCATTTCTTAATGATATGGCTGTGTTTTACCTTTGGGCTGGTTTGTAGTCACAGCAGTCAAATCTACTAGCCTTACGAATGAAGTGTGTTGTAGCATTAGGGTGATTGACTTGTTTTTTCCAAACCGTTTTCCACCGTTTTTTGGGCTAGCTATACGCGTTTTTTTTTGTTGAAAATCGTAATTTTACTAACATTGAAAAATCGAATTTTCTTTATCTGAGAAACCGGTTTCTTCATTTCATACAGATCTTGACCTCACAATAAAAGTTTTGAGGCAAGGCTTTTTTTCCAGTGTAAGAGAAACCCCAAAATGGTTTTAATGTTATGTGCTAGGTTATTTGGGGACGAAGAGTATTATCATATGTATTTAGTTCCAATAAATTAATGTTTGTCGCTTAAACGTTTCCTACGTGTATGGCCGAGCTTCTCCTCCAATTCGATTTCTGCTTCTTGATGTTGTGACGCAAATGGAGAGATCTACACTTTTACTCCACTTCCGCGAAAGATTTTTTTATGGCAGAAGTACACTCGGAGGTTTGGTATTGTCGGCGAGCGCTATTTGAGATTGTTTTTTTTGTTTTTTGATATTGCTGGGACCAGCAATGAAACCATGGAACGATAATATCTAAACTTAACGAAAAATGCAACGCACGCAGGGCTGCCAAATTGGCTTAATCCGTGGCACTTTTGCTCCCATTTTACTTCCAATGGCAATTTTAGAGTAATATGTCAATAGATTTTTGCGAAATCCTTTCGTGTAAAATTCCTTTTTCTCAACTAAAATTTTCTGATTTCTAAAGTTCATACAGCGGGTTTATTCTGTTTTGGAGATATGGTTCTTATTTTATTGCTAAATAGGAAGGATTAAAAGGAATGACACCTTTTTTGGCAATTTTAATTATATATTTTTGGCACATTTTGGCCCTTTTTGGTCCTCAATATGGCACCTGAATGCACACATTAGTTGACCGAAATACGACTGGCTCCTCATGTCCACAATGTGAATTCTAGCCAAATGTTGTGTGCGATGGCAATCACAAACCCACACCACCCGCATTTATGCAGCGAAGGATGATGAGGCGTGGCAATATGCAATTTTCAACAGCCAATTGCCTGCTAATTTAGCGAGAATAACACTGTATAATTTTTTATAAAAGGATGAGATAGCATCAGTGAGCGCTGAGCATTTGCTACACATTTTTTTTAAGATTACAGGGGATTGTTTAGCCCTGAAATGGCTGCCACCTGCAAAAGTTCGTAGAAATTAATAATTATTAATTTGACTTCACGAGTAGCTAGTTTATGACAATGTGCTTTTATAAAGTTAATTTAAAGAGAATATCAATTTTTCTTTAAACAACAAGAGATTAACCAATAACTACAGCCTTATCTCCTTTACTCTACTGTCCTTGTCATTCCTGCATTTGAGAATTTTTTTAATGTTTGCTCCCACCCACATATTTTCTTCTTGCAGATTTCTTTTACTGTCTATAATTCCTTTGTGTAGTGACCAAGGCCTGCCGCACTCGGAACGTACCGGCGCAAGATTAACAATAATAAAACACATTTTTCAAACGTTTTCTTTTTGTGACTGTTCACTTCTATGCCTTGTCAGGCACTCAATTGCAAACTGAATGAGAATAAATCAACCATAGATGGAATGAAACAATAGAAGGCTGTCTCGAGTGCTCGAGAAAATGAATTGGTGTATACATATGTATGTACAAGAGCACACAAAGTTCACACGAATATATACACATGTATGTATAAATGGTAGATTTTGTGATTGGGTTGTTCGAAGCTATTCGATATTGATGACATTGAGAAAGAGCTTAATTGTTCAACGGTAGAGCAACGATTAATCCTATATATTGACTGTGCATCCATTCCCACATATAAGTGTACACCTACATTTTTAAAGACGTTTGAGTGCTAAGTAACGCATTAACCCCATGACAATAACGACATCGACACCCAAAGACCGTCAAGAGGGTTACAGCATCATCATCACCAGCACCGATTAACTATTCGTAAGTTATGTACGACCGAAAAGGTCACTGGGCCATTCAATCTCAAGGATCGTATGCAGCTAAACCGCTACACACACCTATGCTAATACTTAACGAATGTTGTTGGTGACTTTGCCAATCGATTCACAACGGCCATTTTCATACATACATATGTACAAATGTATGTATGCAGAGGCATTAAGTGCCACTAATTGCGCACATAAGTTACTTAAATAGGCGTAGTAGAAGGCCTTATGTGAACTGTTCGTGCTTACTAGCATAATTACTATAATTTCCAATATCTTGTAGAAAGGTTGGTGTGAAGGAAACTCTATTTGCGATCTTACTTATAATATGCTAAAGTTAATTTTATTTTTTTTTAATATACAAAATTGCATGGGAAACTTACGTTTTCTTTCTCCTCGACAAAAGAACTTACCTGAAAAAAAAGAAGTTATTGATTAGAATATTCGCTGTTAATGCGTCTACATATTTCTAAATGTTAGCTTAATAAGATTTCTAATATTCCTTAATGTCATATTGGTCAATTTGTACATTCTTCAAGGATTGCAGAAATTAATTTTATTGACATGGAGAGTCAGAATTATCAATCTGTACTTTGGCATTATAGAAAAACATACATACAAACCACGTTGTGCAAAAGTGTATTAATTTACTTTTGATATTATGTTTATTGTAATTTGCTTCAAAAACCTTATTAAATCTCTATAAGATGAACACGTGCGTGGAAATAGTAGTTTGCGTTTTCTAGAAAATCGTAAAATTGCCTATAATCATATCATTTCAGGGTAGAAAGCATATCTACATGCTTCATCTTCGAATAAAGAGCTAACTTAATGCTCTGAGAGAGAGCTTAAAACTACCATACTGAAGAGCTATCGCCACATATTCAATCACTTTCTGAAAGTGTTATTATTGCAGTCGCTTCTTTCATTAATGACTCTAAAAAGCTTATGAGATGTGAACCCCGTAGATAAAATACGAGAATCAGTTAGCATATTAAAATTATAGGAAGCCTTAAAATCTATATTGAACGGAAAATTAATTGCAAACTTATTTCTGTACATGAAAAATTTGTATTCTAATAAATATCATTGAGGAGCTGATAACGATGCACTATGGTTCAGAACTCAATTTTAGAGCGACTTAAATTAAATTTCTGACATAAGCAAAAACAATAAACACCCTCTCATATTTACAGCAAAATATGTGAGTCATGCCAAAACAAGAAAATTATCCTGAAATGATGGGTACTTTTAACGTACATATGACGTTCCAAAGTAAGAAAATTATTTAAAAAAAAATCGATAAAATAAAGTCCTTTGATCGTGCATTTCTTGGGAGTTTATAATCTCATTTACTTTCAGCTACACTTATTTGCTTTTATTTGTTTTTCTATATTACGTTTACAAGCGAAAAGGGGAATTAAGATAATTTACTTTAAGTTACATCTCGTATAAAAGGAAAAATTTTATTTATTAAAAAAACATTTTCACCGAAGATTTAAAAAAAGTGCAAGCGATTGCAAGTTTTGAAAATATGACTATTTCGTAGTTCCAATATTATTGTATCGAGATAAAGAAAAAACAAACCCTCCTCTGTGCCCCTCTTTATACGACTGTCGGTTTGTCATAAGTTAGTTGGCCAAATTTTCATTACATTATTATGATAATATATGTTAGTATTTTCGACTGCTCTAACAACTTGTACAGAAGTTTGTATTAGGTACATATCGTATTTTTCAACTAAATTAAAAGATCTTGTCCGATAAAGGTTGCCACCTTTTTATAATCACCTAAGAAGCACATAAGCTACTTTCTTATATTTAATATTATATATTTATTTATAAAAAGTTCTTATCCACGGATCAGAGGTTATAAAGCATGCAATTCTACCTATTGGTCAGCTAGGAGAGGAAGCACAAGAAGGAAAAATTAAGGATTTTAAATTCATAAGAGAACGCAGAAGTAGAAAAGATAGTGCAAAGCATACTAATGTCGATTTTTTAACTATTTTTTTGCTATCATCAGATCTTATAATATCTGAATTAAGTTTACAAAGAAAATGCAGTAAAAAGAAAAAACTGTAGCTAGATCCGATGAATCTGCTTAAAGCGCCACACGCTGTATTACTTAGTGAAATTGATAGGACAAACTAGTATCGCTACTGACTCCAGGTTTTTTCTTAAACTATGTACATTTCTTTTATGAACTTCAGATTTCATAGTATTATAAAATAGTCCCCTGATGTTCCCTTATTAATATAACGAACTTTTATTTTTCTGCTTGAGCGACTCTCTTAGTAGCCCAACAGAATTTAAGGTTGTGGTTTTTAAAGTGTTCGATCCACGAAAATATATGAAGTTGGGTACACTTATTTTCATACTAAACTATAAACTTAAATGTAGAAAATAGGTTGCTATATGTTTAAAAATTAAAAATATCTTTTTTGAAAAGAGAACAGAGCTTCAACGAAATAAAAAAAATATTATGAAAAACAAACTTTACTGTTTTTATGTGGGCGTTGAAAATACGTAAAAATGTGCTTAATACTTGGAAGTTCACGTATGGTTAACAAAACATAAAAATACATTCATTTAGGCCCAAATTCAGCTCAAAAATCTGTAGTTAGCTACCGATTCTGAGTTAAATACGCACTGTGAATTTGACCCTTAAAAAATTATTCTCTCGGAAATATTATTAAAACGGATATTGTAAAATAACTTTAAAATTTTGACTGGGTGGCAACCCGAAAATATGTATGGATTAAAACACGTCAGATTACCTTTCATTTGACACTGATATTGTCATATTTTTTATAATTTTATGGAAAGTGAATCTTATCAATTTATTGTGCCCATAGTTTAGGCTATAACTCCGGTACGGGTAGAGGTATCGAAGCAAGACTTCAAAAAAGACTAGCTTCAAATGTGCCCCTTCTAAAGTAGATTACTATGTTAAAATTTGAGAATAACCCGTCATGGTTCGCAGGGGATACGAATTTTGTCGAGCTAGATGTGAGCTCTGAACCACTGTGCGATGGTTTAGAAATTCATTTATTTTAATAAAAGTAGATGAGACAATACAAGTTTTCTCAAATTAATAATTTTTTGTAGGCCTAACTGGAGTGATTATTCATCAATTCATTTTTCCATCGTGGATTTTGTTCTGGACTAGGGATGTCGGAAAAACATCGAAGCATCAAAAATATCGATGTTTTGCTTCAACGCATCGAAAATTTTCCATTCGACGTATAAATAGTCGATTTATCGATGTTTTTTTTTAAACTGACATCTCTAGTACAACTGTCAACCAAATTTTTCAATTGTACAAAAAAGAGAAGTGGCTTTGACCAAATAATTTAAGTGGCTACAAAATTTCCGTAAGAAACATAATTAGCTCAGTTGCAGTAATTTATTTCAAGTTATGTTAAATTTTTTAATAACATATTTTTTGTGTGTGGAACATTATCTCAAAAATCCTATGCAAATCAAAGAAAAATATCGATGTATTTTTGCTACTGGCATCCCTTTTCTGGACACAATAATTTTTGTTATACTAAATGCCGGTTTCGTCAGCAGCTGGCTGTTAGAGCCGTATTCTTACTTACTGCCCTTTATATGCATGTGAGCAAAAAATTTTACTGTCAATGAAAGCACCAGTTAAATTTAACAGCCAGTCGAGAAAACGGGCCTAATAATAATATTATTAAAAAAAAAACATTATTAATAACACTGCACAACAGCATTTCTGATGATTAGGTTATGTTACATGATACTAGGGTAGCTTTTAAGCCGATTTCAAATCTGGGATTGAATTTTCTCTATCAGCTTTAGTTTAGAAAATATGACAAATGGCGTTTCGCATTTTTTCCATACAAAATATTTTCGAAATTTTTTTGTATGGCAGAAACTGCGTAAACCAGATTTACAAAATCAATCTTCAAACATGCACTTTATTGTAATAAAATTTATTGAGCTAAAAAACTTCATACTGAAAAAAAAATCTGATTAAAAAGTTGAAAATTTACATGAAGTTTTGCAAAAGGTTTAGAAATTGTATTTTTTTATTTTTCGTTGTAGTATGAACTAGAGCTCTCGATGTTGTTCGCACATTTTCAAACAGCCCGGGTATATGAGCAGCGAGTACTAGCACACTTGTTCAGTGCTCATTACTCGAAAATTTTCGAGCATGAGCTCGAGCAGTTCGAGTTTTTTCGAGTAATTTGAGCAATGTTTTTTTATTATATTGACATTTTTGGTAGCAACTTTTTAAATTTTTCAAATTATTGATATATAATGCATAGATTGTTACATTGGTATTTAATAATATAATTTATTTAACTTGAATTAGAAAGCAGCTGCTGACAAATACTATTTACAAATTTTCTTTTGTTTATGAAATTGTTCAAAAACTCGAAAATTTTGAACAAACATTTGAGCAGTTGAGCAATGAATGAGTTTCGAGCGAGTATCGAGCTACTTGCATTGCTCGATACCCGGGTATCTAGAGCTCTAGTATGAACCATATGTTTATAAAAAATTTACCAAAAAAAAATAAAAATAAAAATTGTTGCACATATTGTAAGAAATTCTCTGTGCCGATATTTTTTCCGGCAGTGTAGTTAGTCTAATTATATTATTAATATAAGTTTAAAAAAAAAACATCGTCTTTCGTAAGTCATTCATCAGGCCAAAAGAGCAACTTTGTTGGCCAGTGTAATAATAATAATAATAAAAATTGTGGCGGTCGTCTTGATGTTGTTACACAAATAGGGCACCTACAGTTTTACGCCGCCTCCGAACTGTAAATGGTTTTGTTTTGCATTGCCTGCGGAGGGGATATTACAAAACACTTTATTGGTTTATGTTGCTCTAACGAGGGCTCTAAACATGGTTCTACTGAGCGGAAGCACGCAACTTCAAGGACTCGGGAACGGCGGCACACTCAGCACCCAAAACTAATACTTGTTATTAAAATAAAATTACATAAATCAAATTTGCGGTATGTATTTTCAAATTTCTATGTAATTTTACTGAATAATTTACATAAATTACAATCTTTTAAAGCAATAATAGCACCATTTTGCAATATAACCATCAAATAAATTTCCTTTTCGACTTCCAGCATTGACACAAAGAACTTAAAAATTAAATAAAAGCCATTAATAAATTGCTAAAGCAGAGTAAAAGTATGGAAATCAATTTATCATTTTTCTATTCTCAGTGTGTTGAACAAAAGCAAGCGCTCACACACGGACCCTTCAAGTAAATATTGGCCAATGACATCATTGACTTGGCCTGACTTTTGGCAAACATAATAAAAAATTTCACAGGAGCCAAGCACTTGTGTATGTAAGTATGTATATATGGAAGGGTGTTAGATGATATAACAAGGCTGCCTTGCGTTTGAATATTTT